GCTGATGGGGGAAGGAAAAGTTGGATTTTCCAAATTTATATGCTCATTATATACTAAATCACAAATTATGTGCATGACCATATTACTTTCTTACAGAATTTCATTGCAATTACACATTGTTTTTCAGAAAGAGAAAAGGAAGGGAACCACTGCAGTATTTCTATAAATTGATAGTTTGACCAGATAATTATTCCTCTCATAAAATGGCTTTAAAATTGTTCCAGCTTATGTTATTCGCATATATTATCATTAGTTTTGCATCATAAAAATCATAATTTCAAAAGTTCTCTTAATAAACATAAATTACTGTCTCTCAAATATGAAAATATTAATAGCTAAAATATTTCATAACTGTTACTTATTGCTTTACATTCACATTTTGAGATAAATGAATGAACCCAATGTCATAAATGTTGTATTTAGAGAGTCGAAAGGAGAGATATTTTATACTTCTTCTGGGGTGTGGCTTTCATGCTTAAAACATAGAACAGTTGTAGTGTTTAACACATGTGTGCAAAGCAGCCCCAAAACAGATCTAACTAAATATAATCTCAAAGTGGGTATTTCTGCTAGAACACATACAATTCCATTATCTAAGCAAACTCCCTTCCAAACTCTCCTCCACAAAGACTCTGTGGTGTCCCAGGCATCTAACCTTGGTGCAGAACTGAACTTGAGTGTCCTGGCATGTGCTTTTTGTCTCTTTCCACCTTCCCTTGAGTCTTCAGAAGAAGGAAAGCTTCTGGATGGTTTTCTCTTGTCTCCCAGTCCCTGGGTGCTGGGCTGTGTCATGCATGATCAAGGCAGAGAAGAAACTTTTGAAATCCTAAAATGTGGTGTTGGGCATACAGTTGGCAGTTGAGAAATCTCAAAGTTCCCCGCTTGAGTCCACCAACCTTCCTGTTTGTCCTTCTGTACCTCTGTGGCTCAAAGGTCTCTTGCTGTGTCCGAGAATCATTTTCTTGATCATCAAGACCTCCCAGCTCCGAGGCCATTTTCCCACTCAGGTGTGAAGGGCTAATCAAAGTGTTGTTTCTCATCTGCATAAGAAAGAACATCAAAACCTCCACATCAGAGGATTGAAGCTTCTGACTGGGCTTCCTGAGGCTTCATCAGGAAGCTCACCAAATGTTGTTTAGGGTTATTGTATTTAAAATGGGAGCATATGGGTTTTCTTACATGGGTAAGGCTTTGATTACTGGCTGTGGGACTTTTGATTCCCTACATCTTGTTTCCTTTGATCAGTTTTGCAACTATCATATTTGAAGACAGGTATAATCCCAAGGTTCAAATCAACCAAGAATGTAAGAGCTGGATGTGAGCTGACATAAATGAATAAGAAAAAAATAAAGAAGATGGGAAGATGTTAGCATTCATTTCTTCTCCGTACCAACAGGAGTTAGCAAAAGAAAGCATCCTCTTCTCATAGAGCACAAAAGATAAATCACAGTGCTTGGTTTCCTTGTGAAAAGGAAGATTCAAGTTGAATAGATGATTTCCCATTTAATATTAGTAAGTTCTAATGAAATATTATTAGAGAGTAATAATAGCTATCGTGTGCCAGGTACTGTAATGTGTAAACTATAAAATTCATTCAATATGAATGTATTATATAGCACAATTACAATTTGCACATAAGAAAACCATATTGCAGAGAGATTAAGTAATTTATGCAAAGCTATACAGCCAGCAAAGTCCATTAGCCCAATAAACTAAAGATGCCTGAATTAAAATAGGAAGTCACTGATACGTTATTGATACAAGGACTGACATTCAGGGAAACCCAGCTAAACTAACTACAAAAATCCACCACTGTGTCTGGAAAAAGGCAAAGTGGGTTCATGTTCTCATTCTTACCCTGGATCTTAGCCTCCTATGTATTATCATTGCTTATTTGTCCATAGGTCAAAGGCCCTTTTCTCATTAATTTTGTGAGACTGAATCTCCACTGAGAGCCGGAAACCCTAAGACTCCTGCTTCTATTTTAAAATATCTTCCACGGATTAGAAATACCTTTGAAATTCAGCCACAATTTAACTCACCATTTACAATGTATTTTGTAGCTCAAGTCTTTGACCATGGTACAAAAGGGGGAAAAATCTGTTTCCACGTTATTTAATTAGCTTTTTCTTTAAGCTCACTAGCAGATCTTTTCTGACATGTCTCTTAGTGCCCTCAAAATAAGCCTTAATTCTTAAGCACTGAGGGGCTTGTTTGAAAAGAGCCCCAATATGTTATTTTAAAATAAGGTGATTTTAGGTACATTTGGAAAGCGCAGAATTCTCTGATATGTTTATGACTCCATTGATTTGTTGAAAACCCCGTGGAGTCTTCCCTCCCTGTGAGTGGAGGACAGATTCTGCCTTGATGGTAGACCAGGGGCACGATCACGTTTTCGTCTTTGCTCTAGTTTTAGGAGGAATCCTGTTCCTTAGGTCAGAACACGTGTCCTCTATGTAATCACGATGGACAGAAGAAGCGTCCTCTAAGTAGTCCCAAAGCACGACAGCAGCTCATTTCTGACCTGCAGCTCAGAAATGCTTTACACAGGAAATTATAGTACAGTTTTTCCCCTGTTAGCCCTTCCTGCTTCTTGGTTGTCCCGCTTATCCGGCTGCTTGGAGAGCTGAAATGAAAAATGGAAAGAAAAAAGGGGAGTCCCTGGATATATCCTACCAAATAATGCCTTGCTCTTAGGCAGCTGTGGCTGGAATTCAGGCAGTCAATTTTCCATTTCAATCACAGATACATTCAACAATCAAGCTTCTGCAGAGAGGCGACTAGCATCTATTGTTTCAAAAAAATTCGAATCGGTCTTCTCTTTCGAACCTGTGTGCCAAATGACAGGGACCAATATTCATCTTGGTTTCTATAAAACTCAGAAAGACACACGAAAAAACCTAGAAAAGCATTCCTCAAAGGACCTTATTGCAGTATATATAATTTTTTTCTCCCCTGTGTCCACAAGTCCCCTCCGCCCCCCACACTTATGTAAAATCAGTAGCTACAGTAATTGAATTGCAATCCACTCCCCTGGACAGTGCCATTTCTACAGGTCTTTCACCAAAGAGCCAAAATGCCAGGCGCCGCACAAGCTGTTCCTCTAGGGCACAGACCGAGCTTCTGCCCAGAGCCTCTCCAAGCGCACTGGTCTTTCGTGAAAGTAAAAGTTGTCCATGTTGTTAGCCCAGGTCTGACTTTGCAAGGGGAGCCAGGGCAGCTCTCGTGCCACGGGGGAAACACGATCTGGTGCCGAGGCCAAGAACCTGAAGCTGCGGCCAGGGATGAGCGGTCGGTCTGCTCCACTCCGCCCTTCTCTGCTCCGGCTCTATCTAGGATTCCAGTTTGGGGGAGAGCGGCTACTCAGGCAAACAACCCTTCGGATGTCGACTGTTAAGTTTCTCCTCAAAACACTTTGTGAGCCCGATGTTCGTGATCTGGATGGCGAGAAGCACGCAGGACTCCCCAACCCTCCGGGCTGCCTTCCCCAATAGCGGCCGCAGTGCTCGGGGAAGGGGCAGGTGGACAAAAACAAGCCACCTCTACAGGGTCGTTTGTTGCGGTCTTTGTCAGCGCACCCTGCCTCTTTCTTGGCCGCGCACGGCTGGATATGGCCGGCAGGTGGCGCAGTTGGTTCACGAAGAGCTGCGGCAGGGGCTGGAAAGCCGCTCGCAGTCCGCGGCGGTTGCACTCCCACTGGGACCCGGGCTCTCAAGGAAAACCCGGCCCTGCCCTGGAGGGAGCCAGAGGAGGGGCATCCTGGGAGAAGGAAGGGAGGTTCCTCGCTAGAAGTCGGTCCCCCTCTGAACCCCTAGAGAAAAGGCAGCGAGTTGCGCTGGGGGCCCTTCCCCAGTAATTGGCCCAGGGTCCGTCGCCTCTTGGCGCTCCTGTGGCTGCGTCCGCTACCCGAGCCTAGGGGAGAGATCACGGCCCAGGGGTGGCAGCACACCCGGAGGGCTACAATGACACCCTGGGCAGGGGCGGCCAGGCGGGTTTCCGCGGTTCCCGGGCGGCAGCGAGCGGTGAGCGCACGGCTCCGGTCTCCGTGCACGGTGACTGCGGCTGCATCCCCCGCGCTTACATCGCTCCCGTCATTTCTGTCCCCTGAGCCCCGGAATGGGAGGCAGGGCTCCAGGGGCTCCCCGTGGGAGGCACAAGTCTGGGTTTCCTGAATGCCAGGCCGTCTCGGGGCGTCTTGCCGCAGTGGTAGTCGTGACCCCGATGCTAGAAAGACTAGCTTCGTGAGTGAGCCCTGTGGCGGGCTGGACGTTCGGGACGTCTGTGCCCGTGCTTTCTGGAGAGCTGGAGGAGAAACGAACACTCCAGCTATCAAAGTCCCCCCCCCTCAAAGCTCTGCGGACGGAGGAGCGCCACAGACACCGAGCGGGGCCGGGAAGCGGCGGGTGGCGGTGGCGGCGCGCAGGAGCGAGTGTGCGGGGTGCCATCCCTCGGACTCCCGGAAAGGAGCGAAGGGGCAGAGCAACTTTGTCCCTACCGCATTTCAGTAAGGACCTTTTTCTCCATCTCAAACCTCCCGTTGGGGGCAGAGAAGGTTGCCAACATTTCCTAAGGATCCCCATGGTCAATTCAGTCCTCGGACGCTCCTACCGTTGCCCGGGGACTACGTCCCTCAGTGGCGTCGGGGACCACGCGGGTTCGCACCGGCGGGGGAAGGGACCCGACGGAGCTTGCCCCTTCGAGCCCCGGGAGACCTGCGCCCCGCGGAGCCC